TGTTGTAGGTCTGATCATATGTTGTTTCTGCGATCATGATTAGACTTTTTGATCATGCGAAATAATATGGATGTAACCAAAAATATTGCACTAACTCAAGTCTGTCTGATATGAAAAATACTCATAATGATTTTCTCTTTGTTTTAACTTGCTATTCGTACAACAATTTGCTACTATCTTATTTCTATGAAAATGAGGTAAGTGATCAATTGAAAGTAGAGTAATGATACATAGATACAGAGTCATAGAAAGAAATGTATTTGAAAAGTCAGAAATATCGATTGAACTGATTTGGTCGGCCGGCACTTGGAACTAGATTGGGCCAGAAAAAAATGGGCTGTAGCCAGTTCTAATATGCATATCCATTCATAAAATTTAAGCCAGAAAACTACTGCAAAATAACCTCAAGAATAATTTAAAAAAATAATTATTTCAATTTCCTTTTTTTAATCTTTTTTAAGTTGGTTTCTTTATTTTCACTTGAAAAAAATATTTTTCACTATAATTAATCAAGATTGAATGAAAAGTAGGAAAAAAATTCTTTGGGCATGTTCCCCATAAAAACTATAATTAGTAATATTTATACTTTGAAGAAAATGAAGTAGCAGCTCTTAACATTTTTTTTGTTGGTTACCTTTGTTAATCAATGCGCTAAGACATCGATTTGACACGGTACGGTGAGCAACGTGTCTACCTTCAGCATGATTAGATATCTATTCAGATGACAAGGAAAGAAAAGAACAAAAAGGTAAAGAGGGATACAATAATGATAGCCAAAAAAATGCATTAGAATATTTTTTTCATAAATACATCATCGACACACTTTCCAATAGTCATCAATAAAATAGTTCAAACAACTGGTAATCATTTTTAATGCATCTTTGTCTTCTTGAATTGCATTCATTATACATAATCTGAATAAATTATAATCAGTAGGTATCATATTAAAAAATATCGGTTAACGATTTCTTCTCTCCTTACGCTTCTCCGTTCAAAAAAATTTATGATCTAACATAGACTTTCCAGCGATCGTCTCAAAAACAACATGGATAGGTCTATATTAGTGTAACTGATTTTTATATTTTCATTCGATTTTCCTGTAAGTTTTATTTCAATTTCACTTAATCTATAATAAGTATACAAAGTAAAATAAATTGAATTTTCTTTTTCAGGCATTCAAAAAGAAAAAAAACTACTAAAGACAAAATAATTGCGATTCATATTCTTTATGAATAGTTTCATGCATAGTCAACCGCAAAATATCCAGTTTTCTTGGAAAAATTTTTCGTCTGTGAACTGGATTGCGCTAATCACTTAGGTAAGAATGCTAAAACCCAAGTACTCAAAAACTTCGACTATTTTTGATTACTGCTCAACAGTAGTTCATGCTTGCAAGTATGTTGACCCTAGCAGCATTCTTAATTGAGTAAATAAGAATGTATTATGGTTCACCATCCATGGAAGTATCCATGAAAAATACGCTTCGCAAGCATTCTGTCGTTCGTAGAGAGCACAAAATTAATTTTAGAAAAACTTCTCAAACTATTATTGCGATTTCCTGTGCACAAGTTCGAAACAAATTCTATCAATAACAACGTTCTACTGAGAAATGTTTTGTTATAAATCTTGGTACTAATGCTTTTGTAATTTTTGGTTTTACAATGAAATATGGTTCGAATTTGACTTTTATGTTTTTTTATAGTATGTAAAACATTTTTTGGATACCCTGTAACATTTGTGGTGCAAAGCATATTTCACCAACAAAGAAAGTATTTTTTTTTTTGACTGTGATTGGATCATTCGATAAACCGATGTTTCTACTTTATTCTATAGAAAAAATTTCTCTCGAGAAGGTTTTTATAAAGTTTTTGAGGTTTTTCATGAACTACTTAATTTCCTACGCAAAATGAAGGTCTCTGTGAAGCCGGCAGGACTTCAAGTATTTCGAATTTTTCGAGGTACTTTCAATAACTGTTTTGGGTATAATAGACATCAATGTGTAAAGAATTGTTTTCTGTATCGAATGTTTTATAACTCAAAATGTTTCGATACGATATGAAGCTGGTATAAAAATAAAATCTAAAGTGTCTAAATAATTTCTTTGCGTAGAACATCGAGCAGTTTATAAAAAAAACCTCAAAAACTATTTAGAAACCTTCTCGAATTGTATAATCAAAGTCAAAACAATACTTTTTTTTTGTTTCTGAAATATGCTTCACAAGACAAATGTTAGTGCGTCCAAATAAACTTTTTACATACTGTATATACATAGAGATATCTTAGTTGAAATATGTTAAATAAAACTTTCAATAATATAATATAGAGTAAATCACTTGATCTGTCGAAAGAAATTTCCATTAGAGACCAAAAACGAACTGAACCAAACTATAACAGTCCGATTTCATACGATCTCTGCTCTTCATTTTTTTCTGTTTCAATAAACTATTGACGCATTTTGTATTTTAAGATTTTCAATTATAATCTCATTAATTTGTGTCTTATTGTAAAATGAGACTAATTCGACGTTCCTTTTTTCGTCATTTGTTTTCTACAATATTGTTTTTCACATCTATTTGTCTATTATTACTCGCTTATAATTATGTAAATAAACATAATGATCCAACTTTTGCAATTCATAATGTTAACAATCGATGTTATTTTAAACCATCAACTAATGAATTCATTTTTAATTATAAAACAAACTCATCAATTCAAAATCAACCGGATAGAACACGTGTAGAACCAACTATTCAACGAATACGTAATCTCTTAGAAATAATTCGTTCAAAAGAAGATAAATATCAATCACTCTTAGAAAATTTTGATGTTTTTGATATGCTAAATCCAGATAGATCATTAAAACCATATTCATTTCAAAGCAATATAGATGAAATCAAATTCTTATACAATCGTTTTATAAAACTAATGCCAGATAAAAAACAATTTCAAATTGATCAAACATTTATTGATTATTTAAGAAACATTTCCAATTATTTACTAGATGGATTAAGAAATCAACGAACAAACACAGTAAATAATTAAAAAAGAACTTTATTTTCAATAATTTTTCTTATTTAAAAAAAAATCTTCAATAGTTTCAAGTTTCATGTGTTCGTAAACCAGTGTTTGTTCTTGCTTGTGATCATGCTTTTTTTGATGGACTTCAAGGTGCTATTCATACACTTGATACTTATTGGTCTGATCATAGAATTATTTTTTATGATTTGGGTATTTCAAATGAACAAGAAACACTAGTGAAAAGAACAAAAAAAATATTTATTTAGTTTCTCAGTATGATTTGTTTTAATTTAGCTTAGAAAAAAATGTGCTCGATGTACAATTATTAAGTTCCCATTTGCATCTATTGAAAAATATGCATCACATATTGGTGCATTAAAATATTATGGATTCAAACCATTCGTTATCCAGGTGAATATGTAATTTTTGTAAAATTAAACTATTATAGTCATCTATTGGGTTGTAATTTAAAAAAAAATATTTTGACATGAGATTTTTTGAGTCCAGAATTAGCCCACTATTAAGTCCATCTCGTTTGATTTGTGTCGAGTAAAAAATGTTCGGGTCCAAAAAGATTTCTTTTTTGTGTTTAGAGCCCGTAATAGAAAACGAGACTAGTTGACGATTTGTTTTGAGCCCACTAAAGTTTATTTACTATGAAAAATGAAAATAACATGATTAACAAAGTAAACCATCAAGAACATGAAATAGCGCGATAAAACTGACCGTTTTCTTTGGTGATCCATGTGGTTTGTCTAAGTTTTCCAATTTACTTGGGCCGGATATTATGTAAAAATCACAGTGAATTCAAAAACGAAAAGGATGTTTTAAAACATCTCTTCAAATTTGTTAAGCTGCTGCACGTTACTGGTAATGTTACAAGTCGAGCAGCAAGCAATCATCTTGGAAAAGATTCAAATTTTATCGAGTATAGGGATTCCATGTTCGTTTGACCATCATAAAATAGTCAAACCTTCAATAACAACAGTTCAAGATATTCCATTGATAATTAATCTATAAATTACGCAATGAAAGTATTTATTTTGAGGATGAATTTCATACTCGACGCGACATCATGGTAATCTCTCGTAATCCGAGCTCAGAAGACTCAAAATATTCTTTTGAGCCCGAACGTATTTTACTGACCTCAAATCAAATCATCTGGGCTCATTTGTGAGTTAATTATGGGTTTAGAAAACATTTTTTTTCAATATTTTGGTCTTGTTTGCCTTGCATGTGCTCTTGATGATGAGAACGTAGTTTGAATTCATTTAACGATTACTTATTTAGATAAATCATTCAAGTTTGAGCTAATGATAATAATTTAAATATTAAAAATCACCTTTGCTTTAATGTAATCAAAACTTAATAAACTATAACAAGAATCTGACTGATAATTAAATAATTACTTATAGATTTTTTCATAATAAATATCATAGGAAAATAATTTTTCAGAAATCTAAACATAAATCAATGCTTTATTTAATCAGAAAGTTCAAAGAGAGATTTTTACTATCAAGCGAAAAATTTATTTTTATTTCGTCACATTCTTTATTAATTATTGAAATGATAGACAAAATTTATGAGTGATTTATCTTTCATAGGATGCTTTACGTCGTTATGGTACAATTATCTATGGTGATTCATCTGTTCGTTTTAACTCTAATTCATTTAATCCAGTTTTAATTGATAATTACATTCGTGGTTTTGCTGCTCGAGAATTACCTGGTCATTCTCTACCTTGTTATACTCATGTCGATACATTTACTTGGTTTAATCAATCATATACAAATTTTGAGAATATTTATATAGCTGAAACTGGGTTTTTAGTTGTTACAGATACATTTTTAACACGTCTGATTATGAAAGCATGGTTAACATGTGCACTTGAATCAGATTGTTTAGTATCATATGAATCAGAAACAAAATGTGGTAGAATTTCTTCTGACAAACATCGTTATGATCAAAGTGCAATGGTTATTATTTTAACATACTTTTTCTTTCAAGGCAATAAAGGAACATGGAGTGATCAAACAATTAATGATCCAGCTCCATAT